ATTTGAAACCTCAGATGACGTTCATTTCATCCCTGACTTCTCGAAACAAACAACATGGTGAAAAAATAAACGAGAAAATTAAAATTAACCGTACTGTATACACATGCTACACTCGCAAAAATTTTATAGAAACAGACCCTTTACTTTAAACAATAATTGCCCAAAATTTCCCTCCAACCCAGCCATAAGTTGGCTTTTTTTTAAAACATTTAAAACCTCAGACGGGGTCCGTTTCATCCCCAACTTTTCCAAACAACGAACTAAATTACCAAATACTTATGAACCGTCTCTTTTCCTTTCACGCATTCACCACGCATTACCCTACAAATTATTCACCGCGAATTCACGTTACTCGCGGTTCCCAGTTCGAACTTTGCGATCTGCAAGTTGCCGCAACGCAGCGCGTTGTAGAACGTGACCGATTGCGCTCATATAACGCGGAGTACCAGCAGGCAGAACGTACGTGTCCCAGCCTCATCCTCGCAATATGTATAGCTCTGCTACGTAGAGAGATAGAGAGAGATTGTACATACGAACGTTGTCGTCGTCTCTCCTATACGCACACACAGCCAAAACATACACATATTGTGTATAGTGCAGACAAGGTACATATACACACATACATTCATAGGTATATGCAAGTACGTGCGAGCACGGAGATTGCTCCGGGGCTTTCGGGGTTGAGCATATTGAATAACTCGCTCGCTGGACCGCGAAAATATACCGCGAGGCTGGCAGTATGCGGATCGACGTTCCTGAAAGGACCTTGCAGGATCCTCGGGGCGGGCACTGTATCCTGTCTACGTGTCTACCTAACCCACCCCGAGCGAAACGACGACGACTATACCAACGTTGGAAGAGACTCCGCGTCGCGTATTACCTCTGTGCCGTAGCTGAAAATGCATCAACGGAGAGAATTTCGCTGTTGCGATAGCATTATAGTAACAACCACTATGTAATCTATGTGTCTCTTTGTGTGCATGCGTGTAACAGCACTTTTTGTGTATTGTATATATCTCTCTCTCTCTCTCTCTGTTTCTCTGGTTCTCGTGAAATGAACATTTAGAGCAAATCTCGTTTGGTAATAATGTTTTAATCAGTTTGCCGAATTGAAAATTCGATGCTGAAATCGATTGGATTTGGGACATTTTTGTGTATGATCCTAGATGGTTATTTAGAGCCTTTGGAAGATCTATGGTAAGTTTGGTTAGTGAGAATGTTGAGTTTTAATGTTTCAACGCTAGTGGATGACAAATGGAGCGCAACAAAATTGTTGAAATCGACGAGATTCGCTAGATTTTTAGGGTGATTATTTGTGATTTTTGGAAGATTTATGAATAATTCTGAGTAACGAGAATGTTGCGTTTTGATGTTTCAACGCTAGTGGATGACAAATGGAGCGCAACAAAATTGTTGAAATCGACGAGATTCGCTAGATTTTTAGGGTGATTATTTCGAATTTTTGGGAAATTATGAATAATTCCAAGTGGCGAGAATATTCCGTTTTTGATGTTTCAGTTCTAGTAGATGACAAATGGGGACAAAAAAATTATTGAAATCGATGAGATTCGGTAGATTTTTGCGACGATTATTTCGAAATTTTGGAAGATTCATAAATAATTCTGAGTAACGAGAATGTTGCGTTTTGACGTTCCAACGCTAGCGAACGTTAAACAGAGAGCAAAAAATTGCTGAAATCGACGAGAATCGACAGATTTTCGTACACGATCTAAGTGATTATTCGGGGTTTCTGGAAGGTTTATAGCGAGAATGTTCAGTTGCGATGTTTCAACGTTAGCGGATGACAAATGGAGAGCAAAAAAAAAAAAGAAATAGAAAAAAGAAGAGATAACGACGATATCGAGTATTGTACGGACGTCGAGTTCAATGCGCGAATCGATGTTTTTGAGAGAAGCAGCCGAAGCTTTCCGTTCGTGTCGGGGCAGGATGTATGTAAGGGAAGAGGTGGAGGATTCGTCCGGGGATTCGCAGGATTACGTGCAGGAAAATGTGGCTCGAGGCCAGATACGGAATGTCGTTACGCCGGGGTAACGATAGGTACGGGCACAGCCATTGTTGGATAACCTGACTAGAATACACAGCCCTTGTATCGACGGAAAAGTAAAGAGAATTGGTCATCCGAGCATCTCGAATTTCTTTTGCAAATCCTTTTACCCCTTTATCCTTTTTTACCGCGCTCGCGGATGCACGTGTAACGTCTCTAACGCGTGTCATTCTTTATCCAACACTTTCTTTTGCAAATTGGGGAAACGTCGAGCATCTTTCGTATCGCCTTTCGATAATTTAGCTGGTATCTGATATACCTAATCACAGAAATATACTTCCATGACGAAATTTAAGAAATTAAGATTTTAAAGTTGAAGTTTGAATTTTTGAAATTTTGAAGTCGAAGGGTAAAGTTTGAAATTTTCAAGTCGAAAGTTTAAATTGTTGAAATTTTGAATTTTTTAAATTTTGTACTCGGAAGTTCAAATTTTGAAATTTTAAAGAAGCTGTCGTTTTAAGTGCGAAAGTTACTGAATGCAAGGATAATACGCGCGTCCTTTTTCTGGATAACACTTTCTTTTTCGTATTATGTTGCGTACCTTTAGTATTGCATTTAGCAAATATCTGACATAATCACAGGAACATTCTTACACGGCACTATTAAGAAAGAACGGGGGTTTCAAACTGGAAATAAAAATTTCCCAAATTTCAAAGTATCAATTGTTAAAATTGATCTACCGATTGTCTGATCATCAATTGCCTCCCCTACTGTCAAATACACCAAGGCTATCGACGCAACTGTTACAAAATTGCCGTGGTTAAACGCGTAAAGAGAGGAAGCCAAAAAAAAATCTGGAAACTATTTATCGGGATGCAAATTTGAGGACTGCTGAAACTCGTCGGTGGTTGATAATTGTAAGAAAGCGATCTGGATGCAGAGTAAAGACGGCGCAAGCCTGAAACGTGTAATCTTTTTCCCGTTGCGCGGCCTCATCAAGATCAATTAGACCAGTATAGTCGGACGATCCTCGACCGTTAACGATATATCAATTACAGCATAGACGTAGGTAATAACTATTAATGACTTCATTCAGGACAGAGTAATTACAGATGTCCGCGCGCGCGACCAAGAATCTGGGTCGAGACGTTTTTAGACCAGCGAACTTACTGGCTTTCGAGTAGAAAAAGAGGGAGAGAGAGAGAGAAAAAAAGAACGAATCCGCGACTCCATTTACGAGTAAAACGATCCGTTAGTTTAAAACAAACTTTCACCCTGCATCAGCATGAAATCTCAAGTTTTCTAATGGTTTCTCGGTTGAAACAAATGGAACTCATCCCCTATTTTATACGAAACAGCTTTTTCATCATAAAACTCCGAGTATACTTAACTGCGACAGTTAAATTTCTGTCGTTACGATACAAAATGAAACTTCTCCTCGTAAAAATACACCGGTAAGATAATGTAGAAACTTTACACAAATTGCAGAAAATTCCATTTTATTTCCCGAACGTTCTGACTTCTCTGCAGCCTTTTTCACACACATTTCGAACACGTTATTCGAACGTAAGAACCAACCAACCCCTAAAACGCGCAGGAATTTCCCAGTGCTCGTAAATCAACGTGGAAATTCGAGGTTGTATTTCAAGCTGGCCGGTGACGCGAGTCAAAGACGCGGCGTAAGAAGGATGGGCCACGGGGAAAACCCACCTTAAATTTGCCTGCTACGAGGGAAACAATGCCGGCGCTATTCGCCGACACGACAAATAGTCCAAACAATACGGCCACCAGACGTTACCTGAGATCGAGGTGGCTCGTATCGAAACGACAGGTGGTAGTGCAGCTTTTTCTACGATCAAAGCCCGAGCGTCGACCCCTTAACGACGATCAGTCCTGACTAATCGAGGATGGAGCGGATTATCACTTTCGTTCCTTTTGTTTTAATAGCGGTGGAATAGACGAAAGCGCCTCTACTTCGCGATCCGTTAGATGATCGTCGTTTGTCAACGTTAGGGGGTTGTCGATGTCTTTTTCTTTTTTCAACAATCTCGCAACTTGTCAAATCAATCTTGAAATATTTCTAGAATTCTTTGGTTTATGTAACAATTGACATTTTTAAATAATGAAATTTTGCGAATTTTTGACAACGCTGAGAATAAATATGCGGTAAAGATAGGAGAAGAAAGGTGTGTGTACGTATATGTAGTTACATGATTCGAGAACTCGTTTCATATCCTGTTACAAACGTAGAAAGCCGGCGAAATTGACTGGGACTGGGTGTTTCAGAGTCGATTTAGGCAGGACTCGGCCTATGCAGAGACGTATCGCGGAGCGAAAGGAGAGCAAAGCATCGACGAAATACAATTTGAAAGACGTAATTCGAAAATCGTTGTTCGCCCGACGGCAGCGACCCTCCGTCGGACGTCAAAATGAAATTACGCGACCCTCCGCGTCGGGGACCTTGGGGCAGGCACAAAGGCTCGTTTGCCGAGGACACGGCACAACAATCTGACTAAAGGGACTTAAACCACTAATCGTTTCGCGATTAACTTCCATTAAACGCTACTTAATGAACAAAACTTTCGTGTCCTCTTACGTGGAATTGTTACTCTGTGTGTGCGCAAACAGTGGACGTGTGAAAAAAGAGAAAAGAAAGAAAAACGGTAGAAGTTGCTCGCGCTGTGATGATTTCGTATGTAAAAAAAAAAAATATATATATATATACGGAAAGATCGGTATCGGATACGGAAAAATTGCATTCATTTTAGCAGCTCGTTCTTGTATTTATAATATAGTGAAATTTATTCTGCTTATTCTGGCCAACTTCCTGAGAGGGGGTGGAAAGTTTCCAAGTAATCGTTTCCAATTGGAAAAACTAGTTTTAATTGCATCAACTTAAGTAATTCACTCGCAGAGAGTAATTGACCGGCGAGACGTCGAAATATCGCCGATTCGGGAAAAATCTACGATCAAACGAGGACAATAAAAAACGTACCTATTTTTCGCAGCAGCAGCACGATCCCTTTGCCTCCTGTTCTTGAACCAATTTCCAACCTGCGTCGGCGTGAGTCCCGTAGCCGCGGCCAGTTCCCTCTTCTTCCCCGGATTCGGATAAGGATCCTGAAGATACCACTCTCTCAACAACGATCTGGTTCTCTCCTTGAAGCAATGCGTCTTCTGCTCTCCGTCCCAGATCGTCCTCGGTAATGGGAATTTCTTCCTGACTCTGTACTTGTCCACTGGACCCAGCGGTCTTCCACGGAGCTTCTCCGCTTCTTGATAGTGCGCTTCGAGCCACATAGCTTGAAGCTTACCATGAGAATCCTTGGTGAACTTGTGCCTCTCCAGTATCGCGTACAATTCTCGATAATGTCCCGAGTGAAAAGCCACGATCGCTCTTGCTCTCAGTACAGCCTCACTTTGATTCAACTCTTGGATGTTCGGATGAGCAACCGGAAGACTCCAGAGGAACCTCGCCAGTCTCTCGATGTCGCCGCTCTCCTCGAGTGTTTCACAGACGGTGGCTACCTGGCCGACGGTGAACGACAACGTTGGCAGCGCGAAAACTGGAGCAGGTACGATTGGACCGTTGGCGGTAGGTGCCGTGGCACCGGTCCCTGCTGGCGCTACGGCTGACATCTTCTTCTGGCTCGATCGTCCGATCTTCCACTTTACCCCCTGGTGTGCTCTAGAACGTCCTGCTCTAGGTACCTCAGAGCATCGATGTCACCGACCACGTCGGACTCAGGAAACTCTCCGACTTGATTTGTGTTTGCTCTTCGCGCTTCTCATGGTGTCGTTGTCACAGCTCGAGGGTTTGTCATCGTTCTAACCTCTTCTTCGATCACTGGATCAATATACGTAACTCTCACTTCACGTTTTTACTACACTCGATATATATGTATATACCGTTTCTCTCGATTAGAGGACACAGTTTCGAACGTCACCAGTATCTGACAGCGCGTGAGAACGGAGCGGTCTCGAAGAATGTTCTTCTAAATGCACGAACGACGGAGATTACTCTCTCCGTATGAGATCGATTCTTCGGCGAAATTTCCAATTCGAACGACGTATAAATCTCTGTCCAGGTTACATATATACGACACGATCTAAATAACCTTTGGTTAACGAACGCCTCGCAACGAGTGACCGGATGGGCTGTTAATCGCCGCTACGTCCCTCGCGGACTGAATCTCACCCCCGAGCGCTACCGTCAGGTGACTCCCGGTACAGGTAACGTTCTCCAGGTAGATATCCTCGGGGTCAGTACCGGGGCGAAAAGCGCACGCTGACGTTCTCCTCGGCCGTGGGGATATCACGCGAGGCCGCTGTTGCCTGGATCGTATCGGATAGCAAACTGGTTTCGTTTACAAGCCGGCATCTCGGCACCGGCCCTACCCAGCATGATACGTTTGTACGCGCCCGTTGCAACCGGGTAGTCCCGCCGGCTCTTGCGACCTACCTCTACCTCGTCCCCTCTCGCTCTATCGCACTTCCTCCTCCTTCCTCTCCGTTGCCCTCGTCCTTTCTCCCTGCCCCTTGCTCCGTGTCGCGGCGGAGGGGAAGCTGGAGGAAAAGAGACGGGTATACGGTGCTCAGGAGCCAATGTAGAGGCCACGCCTACAAGCCAGACCGGGATTGGCCGGATCCCATCCACGTAGCCATGGTAACCTTTCTTCGTCCTTCCGTACACCAGTGTCCGTGTTCACGTTTGTGTCCGTTTAATTATCCCTTCCACGTGTGCTAGCCAGAACCACCGTTCACACCCCACCACCGCCTTTCCACCATCTCGTCTCTCCCCTCCGCCACCTCCTGTCCCTCCCTCCACCGCTTCCCCCACTCCGCGCGCTCTCTCTCTCTCCCCCTACTCTGTTGCCGCGATCCTTCGCTCGCTCTCCCCTCCACACTTGTTCGCGATACCGACCGCTCCCGCCAGATGAGACGTGTCTCTCACGCCCCCTCTCTCACGTGAACCGCGCGACAGATAAGGAGGGAGCTAGCGACAGGACAGAGAGGGAAGGATCGATGCGTCGCGGACAGAAAGTGGGACGGAGAGTAGTGGAAAGTGGGGAAGCAAGGACGGGGAACGAGGCATGATCCCCGCGTTCAACTGCTGCCGTTCTTGCTGCCGTTCCGTACCTTCTGTTGCTCCTGCTCCCGTGATCTCTCGACGAACTGCTTTCGACCAAGCTCTCCTCGCTCGTACACGCAAGGTCCGCCGGCTTTTCGACTACGTTTCTTAGGCGCGCCATGCTCTCTTCTTCGCGATTTCCGACGTTTTACCGCGGTAGCTATCGGGTCTGTGATATTCGCGTTCGTCGTTGGTTACGGTTTCAGAAAATTTTCGTTTGCGTTGAGAGATAGGGGATTCGGTGGACGCGGTTTCGGAAGGGTTAAATGGCAACTTCGGGGCAGATGAATATGTTCGACGTATGGAAGGTGGTAGCTGGGTTTTGGTACGGCTGTTGAGTAGGGAATTAAAAATTTGGGAATTTGGGTTTCCGTTTTGATGGGAAATCGTTTTGATGTGATTTGCAGGAGTTTAAATGGCATTTTAGGGTCGTACGAATATCTTTGAAGAATTCAACTTTTCTACCTTATCATTCTAAAACATTCTGCTGCACAATATTGTCAAATTAGACATCAAACTATTAATTTTCCTAGCACAGGATCACTTTCTCTACAAATAATTTGAACAATTTGAATATTTATTCAACTGCGATTCGTTCGTAATCTATTAAGTATGCAAAATATTGGTTTTTGCGAATAGCAGTACAACGTAAACTAATTTACTGCAATAATAAAATAAAAAATGGAGGATTCGTGAACATGAAATTACGATGATCCGAACGAGTTCGTTCTTCCCCACTTAACAGGTTCGTTCGTGGAATATTTTCTGCGGTCAGCTGTTAATTACACCGAAAGGTTTAAATGTCTCCGGGTGGCGCAACCAGGCCATTGAACCCCGGAATTCTTACTCGATTTTCCGTTCACGAAACTTCGACAGAGCAGCACCAGAGGCGGCCGATATCGGCAATATGGGTAGAAGCCCTCTATCGACACGCGACTAGATTTCATTTCTCGTCAAGGCGACAGGTACACGCGTATCGAGAAGCCGAGGACGCGCGACGGCGCCGAAGGCGTCTCCGTTTTATCGAACGCACAGCTGCCGCAGGAGCTTCAGTCTCGTGATAAATATTCTGATTTGTAACTCTGACGTATCCAGGCCGACGTGTCGACTCCCTTGCCTCACAATATTGGTCGTCAGCCTTTTTCACCAACTTTTTCGCCATATTTCCTTCCTACTTATCTTCAAAGCCTCTAACTTCCATCGATTCTCAAAGACCGACTTAAAAGACTTGCCCTTAAAATATTACATACCTCTACACGTGTCTTATATTCGAGAAGAAAAAGAAACAGAAAATACGTCTGTTCACCTGCGAATAAAATATTCTCGATCGCGAAGAAAATGATAAAATATTTACACTACGATAAGTTTCTTAGGATATCGCATCGCCCCCGGGACGAAATGGAAGGAAATATAATCTCAGGCGTCAATGATGCCCGTAGCGATTGCTCTCGTTTGCAATCGCCTCGTTCCGTTACACGATCGACACCAGACGATTGGCCCTAGTTAAATCGGATTACAGGGAAAAGCGGGATTACGAGTTTTTCGAGAAGACATCGTTCGTCCTCGTCGTTCGGCCGGTTACCTAGCCGCGTGTCCCTGGGTTTTTCCGGATACGATCCGCCATCCATCCGTCTGCGTCGCGTCGATCCATATAACAGTCGTTACCTGGCAGAGAGGGCCGGGTCCGCCGCCACGCGGAAAAAGGGTTCGAACGCGTGAACCGTTGGAAGAAGGAGGGCGGGGTGTGTGAAATGACGGGGGTCGTTTTAGATTTTCAATAGCCGTGACACGAAATCGCCTGGCGTAATCTAGCTCCGTGACAATACAGCGCTAGTGGCATTAGACCCAGATAATAACGCGACTTTGTTACCGGAGGAGTCTACGTAAATTTATGCCACTTTCGCACCTATCACTTTGACCTCGATTCCGATCAGTCGCGTTAAATCCTATCTCCTCTAGCGTGTTCGATTCCTTTTTTCTCTATTTTCTCCACCACGTTATCGTCGTTCCTGGTTATTTATCTCTGGTAACAAAAACTAGGTATCTAGCCGCGTTTAATTTACCTTTTCTCGACAATGGTATCTTAAATATGTAAAGTAGATTTTGCGAGATTTGCGTATCGCGCTCGTTCCGTGTGAAACATGTGTGCACGGTTCTCTTCCCTTTTTGTTTAAACAGTTGTTATTTTCGAATATAGGAAAGATTGGTTTCAGACAATGGTGTTATTACACGTCGTATCTGATTATTTATTTGAGTATCTATTTACAAATCTACAACGGGACATAGGTAATCAATAGGAGATAGTATTTTGTGGAAGATTTACGAGTGGGGCGCAGGGCTTCTACGTCGAGGGTGTTGGAAATCAGGTGTAACGTTTCAAGAAGGTGATTCGTCCCAATCCGAAACACATGTTTCGCGAACCCCGCGAGGTCTTGGGGATTTCCCAGGGGAATTTCCAAGGATACGAGTCGAGTAGGTACGGCGTAGAGACAATGGGGTACCAGCAGAACCCCTGTCGAGGCCAGTAGTGACCGACCACCAAAATCGAAAGGTGGTAAATACTTATAGGGTTCAATTATCCTTCGACTGGTGGCTTCATTCTTTCCGTATACTGTCCATGGGAACCGAGGCCCGACCGATCTTTCTCATTGTCCCCCCCGGATTCCAGATTTACTCTGTTTGCCATTGCGCATCATCGATCTTCCTTTCTCGACGTTTTTATTATCTGTTTATCTGTTGACACGTGAGATGATCTAATTGGCGAGGAATTAATTTGTAATTGAGCGAAGAGTGGTTGTTTTATCGTCGACAGTATCGATAAAATTGAGGGTAATTAAAGGTTTTGACGGAACTTTAGAAATAGAAAGAGAAATTACTTTAGAATATGTAATTACCAGGGGAAGTGAATAGGGCGTAGGGGTTGGGTGTTCTTTTAACGTAGTTTGCAGAATTCTGAATAGCATCTTAGGGTTATGTGAATATCTTTGGAGTATTAAGCTTTCCATTGTCGTTTTCGATATTTAATTCTCACCTACTATTTTGATTGCAAGAAATTTTGCTCCTTAATATTGTCAAATATGAAAATCCATCGTTCAATTTTACCATCTTCTAAAAATTTTAATTTCTTTTAACCTACTTAATTCAGAACACAATTGCTTATCTACCGATGGCTTTAATTTTAGTATTTATCATGGGCCAACGATGGCTCACCTGCAACGCAGAATATTTCAACTGATCGTTACCTTTAATTTTTTCCACTCGCTGCTATTTAATAACCATTAATCGCTTTATTTATACGACAGGCCTGGCGATGGACTTGCATAACTATTAAATCCTAATCGTCGACATTTGTATGTAAGCAAATGTATATATTGCCAGAGCGAGTAATAATTGTCTCTATGCTCGGATGTGCTATAGACGAACGTTTCAGATCGACGCTGCGATACCGAATACTTCTGATAAATGGCGAGATACAAGCGTATCGATACGGACACTAAAATTTCCAGGA